TCTGTCGGAAATGTGCGATATGTGAGCCATCATTGCCCGCAGTTTACCCGACGTGAACACCGGCGACAGTATAGATCGCTGGCGTTTCCAGTCATCATTCCCGGGCATAAAAAACAGACTCTTATCCAGTTTGGACGTACCAAGGTGAAAGTCCAAGTGATGGGGCCATATGTGAAAGTCCTTGACAAATATGTCCCTGAGCAAATCGGGATCGTTGATACTGATCACATTCTTGGTAAGTGTGTGTATGCCATATACCCGACCGTATAAACGTGCGAATTTTGTATCTAGCTCATGTAGCGGTACCATTTTTGGTAATAGTACATATTTTGGCCCTGGTACTCCATGGCGGGTCCAGTATGAGTAGCGATGTTTCAGATAGCTGATTTAATTTTTAAAATTTTCAAAATTATTTTCAATACTAATTAGAAAATAATGGTATTATATTTATTTTTAGGTTATTATAGATTATTATGTTATTCAAATATTTAAAGAAATAAGCAGGATAATGTTAATTACTTACTAAAACAATCCGATAATAAATGTCACAATTAATGAAAAGATTGTTAAATTATCCATGATGTTTTTACAAAACCACATACACCTAAGTATTAAGTTAAATATTGTTTACAAGTTTTGCTCTGTTTTAACAAACATAATGAAAACATTTACGCTTATAGTGTATATAAATAGGAAATGCAATGTTATCATAAAATGTACATTGTACTGATAAACTATTTAATAGAGATATAACATTATTACACAAAGTAGGTATACAAAATTTTAACAAAACTTTACCACAATTATACTTTATAACACAAATATGTAATATCGTGGTAAAAACCTTGATACTACTATACCTCCCTTTCATCATTACATACTATTGTATGTTTTATAAACATTTGACATTTATAATATTAATAGTGATAAATTACCTGATTAGATTATTTACTAACTTATAAGTGTAGTAAGATTCAATGCCATGATGTGCACAATGCACTTTTAATAAACACACTGTGTAATAGTTAGGCTAATAGTAGTAATCATAATACATTTTGTAAAAGTAATTGCTTGGTGTAATTATTTTAAATTGAATGAAATTACTAAAGCTAGTTATTTAAATACATTCCTTGAATTAATTTTTTATTTAGCTATAATTAGGTTTTAAAAATATTTAGCTTGTCTTAATTAAAGATATTTGTATTTTCAGTCAAATTTCTATATTGTTTTAGACATAATACTTATCATTTTTGTAATTGTTAAAATTATTTATTTATAAATACAATAGTTTGCTTGCTTAGACAATTAAAAATATTTTAAACAAAAATTAATTTATAAATAACTGTCCATTAATAGTCATTATTACTGTTTTACTGTATATAAACAGTCACTTGTCAGTAAAATAATATATAATACAATATTAATTTTAGTTATATAGATATAAATTTTTAAAAATAAAAATAATTTATAATGGTAAATTAATGAAATTAATTATTTATTAATATTTAGATGTGACATTTTAGCCAAGCACATATTTATGACCTCTGTTAAAAGTCTAGGTACAAGCACAAGCAAAAATAAATTAATAAAGGATACAAGACTAAATTGATATATTATAAATATTTATCATAATGCACGTTAAAGTTTAAAATTATTTAACAGTTTAATAATAATAAATATTGATTTCTATGCTAATATTTTAAATTAACTTTTTTGAGTAAAACTATATTATTATAGTTATTTAATGTGCTGAAATTAACTTATCATAAAACCTGATCAATTTAATAAATAAAAACATTTTTATAAGACAAAATAATGTGCTTTTTAAATAAATTATTTCATGAATTTTAAAAACTGTTATTTTATTTTAGCCTTATTTTCATGTTACATGGTGACATAATTATATATTTAAATGGGAATTTGAATAACTAACTTTTTATTTCATAAATATAATCCTAATATTTAATTCTAATTTCTATTATAACGTGTGTTAATGTAATTTGCATTAATATAATACCCAATTAGTAGCCCATTGTGTGAGTATATGAAAGGACACCATAAAATTAAATCTAATTTAGATTAAATAATTATTATTTACAGTATAAAATGTTATTTTAAATTATCTTTTTAAACATTATTTGCAATATTTAACACAAATCATATTAAAAATATATAAGCGTGAATTATAAACAGCTTACTATCAATAATAGAGTCGCAGGTTTCTAAAATACAATGTAATAGATGTAGGTGCACCAGTACATACACAACCTGAATTAATTGATAAATAACTTGTCTTTTGAAAATAGATAATGTTCATGGTTAATTTTAGATCTCTACAATACTATATATGAAATTATCAAGTAATTAATATCTTACAAGTTAGATAAAATAAATAAAGGCTTACTATAGAAATGTTAGACATTTTATAATGCTAGAAACTTAAGTTAAGTACATAAATCATTAAATTTAAATTGATTTTATAAATAAATAAATACAATTAGAGCGAAATAATGTTTAAATTAACCTTACTCATTTATTTGGTGAGCATATTTTCCATTCAATTTGCAAACAGTATTGATGTGAACACGACATCAGGTGTTGTGAGAGGTCTCACTATAAATGTGTTGAACACAAGTGTCGACCAGTTTTTGGGTATACCTTACGCCGAACCCCCTGTCGGTGCGCTTAGGTTTGCTAAACCAGAGCCTATTAAAAAGCCATCGAAAGTAAGATTTTAGACATTTTTATCGCAAATTATATTAAAACAAATAATAATTAACACATTATGACCCAGGTAATAATAGATGCTACAATAACCGGGAACTCCTGTTTGCAACTCCCAAGTAATCAACTGGGTCAGTTCAATACTGCCACAAACTCCGATATCGATCTCATCCAAAACGAGGACTGTTTGGTACTAAACATATGGACACCAAATACGAGCAAAAATAACTCATCGAAAGGCTCACCACTAAAACCCGTCATGTTTTGGATACACGGAGGGAGTCTCACCAGTGGCTCAATATTTATGACCCCCTATAACGCCAGTGTTTTGGCCACTAATGATGTCGTACTCGTGTCTACAAACTATAGATTAGGTCCGTTTGGCTTCTTATATGGGGGTCGGGAGGACGCGCCCGGAAATGTCGGCTTTTATGACCAGTTATTGGCACTTAAATGGGTATTTAAAAAGTTATAGAGTGTTTGCAACATATCCATGACCCGCACTTTGTATGCGCAACCTCTTAGATCTATACATGCTACAGGCCTAAGGGGTTGTATTCAAAATGCGGGTCAAGGATATGTTGCCAACACTCTAATCAAAGTTATAGTGGAAAAGTATTAACTAATGTTATAATTAATTACAGGTTAGAGATAATATACATTTATTGGGTGGGGATAGGGATCATATTACTGTATTTGGTCAGAGCGCCGGCAGTTGGTCGGTGTCCGCGCTTATAATCTCTCCACTATCTAAAGGCCTATTTAAGAGGGCTATTATGGAGAGCGGGGCTCATCTGTATAACAAGGACAGGGATGTGATCAGTAAACAGGAGGCCTTAGCGAGTGCCCAAAAATTGGCGGAACAACTAAAATGCAATACATCTGAACAATGGATACAATGTTTGCGAGGAGTGGATGCAAAGGAGTTCCTAAAAACTGAGTCTTTATACGTATTTCCGGTCGAAGGCACCGAATTTTTACCCATTTCTATACAAAAGGCATTTGAGACCAAAAAGTTTAATTCCGGTAAAAATAGCATTATGTTTGAGTATTAAATATGGGAATCGTTTAATTGACACATGTTGACTTGACCTACGGTTGTTCTGACCTACGTTGATTTGACTTATAGTATATGTAGCTACATTTAGCCGGTATTATGTGCATTTTTTATTGTAGGTCAAATCAACTGTAGGCCAAATTAACGTAGGCCATTCAATAAACAGCTTTTAAATAGTATATATGTATTTTCAATAGATATTGATTTAATTGCTGGAATGACATTGGATGAGGAGTCGGGATTCATAAGTCATTTCGACCCCGACGTTCACAACCTGACTGCCGAGGGGTTCAAGTTATTGGTGTCCGAAGTCAATGACATATATCACGGATTAGACGCCGAAAATGTGACCCAATTCTACCTAAAAAATATTGACCCGAAAGATCCCGGTGCCAGTGTGCGAGCGTTTGAGGTATTCCTTGGTGATTTGGTAATGAAATGCCCCACGTATTTGTTTGCCAAACAATTTGCCACAAATGCACCTGGCAACAATGTGTACGCCTATGAGTTGACGTTTGAAAGTCAATTCACGACTAATGCCACCGGGTGTCCACCGGGAATGGTATGCCATAGCGCCGACGTACCATTTGTATTTGGGCGACCCTTTCTATACCCGGATCAGTTCAGTCATGAAGAGACTGTATTTAGTGGTGATATCATGAAAATGTGGACCAACTTTGCTAAAACTGGGTATAAATTGAGTTTTGAAATCTTATTAATAAACCGGGTTTATTTAATAAAATTAATGACTTGGTTGTTTTTAGAAAACCGGATGATTTATGGCCACAACTATTAGATAATAATGCGATACAAGTCCGTGATTTGAATCCACGGAATATGAGTCGAGTATTGGATAATCCCTTTCACACCACTTGTGATGACTTTTGGAAAGACTATTATTTGTAATTTATAAGCACTAATGTAACTTACAATCAATAATGTATAATATTACGATAATAAATTAGACATAAATCACAATCATAATGAAAATTGAAAATTTATTTTTAGAGTTTTAAACCAATGTAAGGATTGACTTTTATCCCCCGATCGGGGGATCCCCAGATTGAAAGAGAGAGAGAGAGAGAGAGAGAGAGAGAGCTAGTTATATATTTAATTATTATTAAATATTGAATT